ACTATTGCAATATACTCTGATAGCCAAACAGCTATAAAAGCAATTAGCTCCATGCAGGTCAATTCCAAACTGGTCTGGAACTGCCTAGAAAAGCTACAAGAACTAGGTAGTCAAAACAGACTGTCATTAGCCTGGGTACCAGGCCACACAGGATACAAGGGCAACGAAGAGGCTGATTTATTAGCACGAGAAGGAGCACGACGCTCCCCCATTGGCCCAGAACCCTTTTGTGGTACAGCAAAAGCGCTGCGAAAAACTTGTAACAGCAACTGGAAGGTAAAAAAATCTCAAAAATTGTGGAATAAGGCGCCGGGTATGAGAGAAGCCAAAGAGTTCATTAAAGAGCCATCGCCAAAATTCACGGAGTACCTAAGTCTGAATAGGCGATCAACTAGAGTTCTGGTCGGGCTATTGACGGGACACTGTAGACTCAACAAACACATGAACAACATCGGACTGGCAGACACAGCCCTATGCAGGCTTTGCCGAGAGGATGAGGAAACCTCCGTACACACACTATTGCTATTGCGAAGGTCTGTCAAGAATAAAGTTTTGCAAAATTAGGGGAGGAAAATCCACAACCCTCTCAATATATGGGGAACCTGAGATCTGGACGATGGAGTCTAGTTACAAGGACGGCCCTAGACAAGGAACTCTAGCATACATGAGGGCACACACAATAGATCTGCAAAGTTCGCAGTGTAGTGGTTGTTCAGCATAAAAGCCCCATATTAATCTAATCCAATCTAATGTAATCTAACTTCAATATTACATATTACATTGTACTCATCAATCTTCATCTGTGATATTTACTCATTTGTTCCTGTTATTTTTATATACTTATACTATACCTATACGGTGGCTGAGGCATGATCACGGTGTTGTTTTTGGCCAAAAAACTAAGAACTAGCAACGAGTAAGCAGATGCATTCCACACAGACGTTTCCTACGTATTGCTTCTCGCAAGCGGCGCAGAATGATACTCCTTATTGACCGTACGACGATGTGGCAAAAACTTCTGATGGCGGGCTTCTATGGTCTTGGCTCTCCTGGGCTCTTTCATTGAGATGAGCCAAGTTCGATTAAATGTCATGGTTTTGCTCACGGTTTTTTTTCTATCACCGTGGCGTAGTGTATCAGAAGTTTTTTCCACATGGTCGTACGGTCAATAAGAAGTATTCTGCGCCGCTTGCGTGAAGCAATACGAAGGAAACATATGTGCCCACAAGAATAGCTAATGGAAGATATGGTCTAATGAAGACCGCTATCGATTATTTAATAACAAATATGGAAAATTTGCAATATGTAATCTTTGACCCAAATATCTCAGACCATATCGCACAATTACTCAAAAATCCTGATATTGACCATACTGAATGCGAGATGACGGAAAATATAACCAAGAGAGAAAATTCGATGATGGAATTTAAATCACTTTTTAGAAATACATATAATAAAATCCTTGATTTCACTGATTTTGAAAATATTGACGATTTATTTGATGTTTTCTGAAGCGAGTTCATATATTGTTTTGAAATGGCTTTCCCTAAAAGAAAACTTAAGCTTAAAAAGAAAATAAACTCGCGTGTCTTCACCTTTTCTCAAACATTAAGAGAAGAATCGAGGAAGCTTGAAGATCTTAATAGTCTCAGAAAAACTTACCATGATGACAACTTAAAAGCCTTGTATTAATCTAGGAAAAAGATGTATCTTAAGAATGTTGAAGAAGAAAGGAAAACTTATTACAAAAACAGGATTGAGAATTCACAAAACAAGAACAAGACCTTGTGGCAAGTTATTAACACAAAACTCAATAGGAATCACACCAAAAAAGAAATGATATTAAATCATGATAATCAAAATGTAGAAAATGAGAAAGACATCTCTGACTTATTTGCCACTCACCATTCTACCTCAGTCCAACAAAAACTCATTTCTCATTTCAAAACTCTGTCCAATGAATGCACCAGCACCTTGAAAATAAATAATAACTCTATGTTTTTTCTACCCGTATCTCCAGAGGAAATGAAGACTGTTATACTTAGTATGCCAAATAAAATATTGACTATCTTGCAAAAAAACTAGCAAATAAGTGTTATGCAATTCGAGTGTTGAGACGTCACTTGAAAATCGATGCACTGAAAACGGCATATTTTGGGACTGTTTATCCTCTGCCTGAAATATGGAATAATAGTATGGGGAGGGAGTACACAACTGGAACGTATTTTCATTATGCAGAAACGTATATTGAGAACAATGTTCAATATGAATTACACAGACACTTGTCGTGGTACTTTCAAGGGTAATAGAATGCTTACTGTATATGCTATATACAGTGTCGCCATTAAAGTGCGCACCATATGGGAAACTTTTTTTTCGAAAAGTTTCAATGAAGTTTAACGTCGGCACTTGTTTGTGCTTTAAATTCAACTTGAAATGATGCGGCCAACTGCGACCCACTGACGTTCAGTGTTTGTCAAATTCAACTGGAAAAAATTGAAAAAGTGCATTTCTAGATCGACTTTAACAAAAAGTT